TGTATGTGCCTACTATTTAGTGCATTATCTTTAGCACGCTTATGCTTATGAAACTATTAATGCTACTCTAGATTAGTGATTATACTATTGGGCTTTGTAAGCTCAGCCTTCAAATGTTTTCTGTTGGCAGGTTAATAGTTAGAGCAGTTTGTGAAGAACCGTCACAGTAGGACTTCCAGCATCTCCTTCAAAGTATTTTACTGTAGATTTAGTGGGCATATGTATTCATAAAACAATACTTATGTATTTGAGTTATAAACATCAATATGTATTATTTTGATTTTAAATTATATGTCCTGGAGCTCCGGTTTGTAAAATGTTTTAGTAATTGTTTTATATGTTATATGATACCATTGAGTATGTTTTAAAAGAAAATGAATAGATTTCAAAATTTAGAGGTTGCCTCGGTAGCCAATGTAACACTTTAGGCCAAATCGAGTTTAGGGTGTTACACCTTGCTTTTTTCATTTTTTCATTAAAATTGATGGTTTAAAATGTTACTATTATGTTTAAATCATATTTAGATTTATAGAATTAATTTTCACTTAACACAAAATTTTTAAAGAAATTTATTTAAAATAGGCTTAAATGTATATTTCCACCTTACTTATACATTTTTTACCGAGTTGCCCCTTAAAGTATTTTTCGAGACATTTTGCCCCCTCAACTAAAAATCATTATCCATTTCCCCCAAATCGTTAACACCATTAAAAACAACATGGGTAAATTACATATTTAGCCATTCAACTATTCTCACTGTTATGTTTTCATCACTTAATTATTTTTCTTTCAAAATAATCACTAAATTTAAGATTTATTTCCATTTTAGTTACCTAATTTAGATGCACGCATTCTTCTTCTCTCTTTTTGGGTTTTCCCTTTTGTTTAATCAAACAAGGTTTAGATTAGTATATAGGGGTGTTCAATCAGTCAGTTCGGTTAACTAATTGAACCGAACTTTCAAATTTCATTAACCAAAATTTTTTTCATTTTAACCGTTAACCGAACCAATTTTTTTTAAAAAATAATTAACCGAACCAAAAAAATTCGATTAATCGGTCTGTTAACAGAATTAACCGAAATTTTAAATAATATATATATATATATATATATATATATATATTATACATTAAATATTAAATATTTTTTGGCTAATTTGGTTAATTCAGTTTAAAACCGAAATTTAAACATTCTTAACGATATTAATAAATAAATAATATATTAAATTTTTAAAATTTTTGGTTAATTTGTTTAATTAATCAATTTTGAACCAAATTAACTAATAACCGAACTTTGAAAAAATCATTAACCGTTAACCGACTGAACTTAAAATTAGCCGAATTTCTTTGGTTCAGTCGGTTAACTTAAACTTCGGTTCAGTCGGTTTAAACAGTTAACCAAAATTTAAAAGGTGTGAAGGAAGGAGGGGGTTCTTGAGAGGATTCAAATATGGAAAAATAATAAAATGTAGGATTTGTGCGTGCTTCTACAATCACAAAATTATGTAAATGTGATTGCTTTTTAATCCCAATTTTTAGATTCATTGTTTCCTTTTAATGATAACATTTATTTATTTAATGAAATTTTTAATTTATTTTTAGTTAAAAAAATGTAATTAAATTCTATTTAAACACATTACAATTAGTCGTTTTCAAGTTTCTTTCATTATTTTTCAGTGTTTAAACGTGTCAAGATCAAATATTATGTTTTTAATGAATTCTTATATATTAAAAAATTTAAAAAATAAATCGAACGAATTTAATGACCAAGTGAAGTGATGATTATGAAAAATAAAATAGTTGGGTGACCAAAACAAAACCGTGGGAATAGTTGAGTGACTAAATATGTAATTTAATGATTTTTAGTAGAGGGGCAAAACGTCCCAAAAATATTTTAAAGGACAACTCGGTAAAAAGAATATAGTTAAGGGAAAATATGCATTTAAGCATTTAAAATAAAGATTTCAAATATTTGTTAAAATTAAATACTTTTAATTGATTTGAATGCAATTGAGAGTGAAAATATTGTCATTTATCTGTGATTTCAATACAAGAGGATTATCTCTCTGAGTCTTAAAATCTAGAGTTTTAACCTTGCGCTCAGAATATTTGTAAACAAAATTCAAGAAAATTTTCTCTCTTTTGTTCCTAATTTTCCTATCCTAATGCCTCTTAAATAATTTTCCTAATCATATATTAGAATCTCTGTACTTTTTTGATTCTGACTATTATTTTCAATTTCATGAGCATTATTATAATAGGGCAATTTGCTTGAAAAGTAAATTTGGTCTATATTTTTTGGGTCTAACACATAACTTTAAATTTTGGGATAGATGATCATTAAACCTTCAATTCATCCACAAATTGTTCATGCCTTCTTTTTCAGTGCTTTTTTGTTCTTACTTCTAAGATCGATAAAATTATAGGTATTAAATCTTTTTTTACGGGATAAGAGTTAATCATAACCATTGAATCCGTAACCAATAACATACATGCCTCTCTATATTGAGAAATCTTTTCATACCTATTGAATATATACCAAACGATAATTTTGCTTTTCTTATTTTTGAATAGCAATTAATTTATTTTACATTCACTTGGTTCCTTCGTCTCTCGGGTGACAAAATCATTTGAAAGAAACAATTTGATTATTGATAGATTTATCGCTTTTAGATTAAGAGCCTCTCTCACATTCCCAAAACCATCTTTAACATATATTTATATTTATGTTTTGTAAAATGGTTTTAGTGTAGATCTAAAATACAAATAAATTATCTCAAACCTTCTCTCACATATGTTCTTAGACGAATGGAAGAAAAAGTGAGTTTTTCTTTGATGAATCTGAAATGTGAAGGGTTGAGAAATTTTCTTTGACGTTAACTATTGATTTTGTCCATTTCCTAATTAATTTTATAACTATTAATCTAAATTAATTATTTTCATAAATTTAATCAAACGTTGGTCAATAGAAAATTAAACCTCACATAACACATCAGTTGTAAGGTTAATAGTTAACGTGTCACATTAATTTTCTATCACTTATTGTAATAACTGTTAACGTCGAGTGATTAATTTATTATAAATCGACAATATTAATGATCAAACCATTAATTTTAATCATTAGTAAAAGAAAAGAAAAGAAAACCTTACTCAAAGTGAATGACCTTTTATACAATTCACCCTTATAATTAAGGGTAAAATACTTAGTTGATCACTTAACTATTTAGCTCTTTTACTTTTTTCGCTGATCTTTTAATTTTACCAATCACATCACATAATTATTTAATTGTTTCAATCAAGCCACTGACGATTAAGAATTGATATAACGTGACAGTTAAAAGAATTGACATAATTCTACTTTTAATCTTTAATATTTATATATTCTATCAACTTGATCCTAATTCGAATTTAATTTAATAAATTAATCATTCAATAAGAATCTGACACATGTCAACATAGAATCATGACATGTGTCATTGGTGACACGAGTCATCAACTGATTTGAATATTTGTTTTATTAATTTTAATTTATTTAATTAAATTAAATTTTATCCAACCAAATGGTGACACATGTCACCATTTACTTGAAGGAAAAATAAGCTAAAAAAATACATAAAATGGTGTTTCTGGGCAACCTCAAACCTAGGCCACACAAGTGAGGGGCGCATGCCAAACCACTGAGCTAGCCTCACGGTTTGAGTTATGAGATGCACAACTATGTATATGTTGACATATACAGAAAATAATTTGAAATTGAATAATTTGAAATTAATTAATAATTTTATTTTTTATATTAAATATAGAATGTATAGAAAGTATAAATGATTTAATTTATATTTTTAATATTTTATTTTTCTTCTAAAAACTGGTATTTAAAATATATTTATATATATTTAATATTTTTCATATATAGTTTAATAAAAATATATTTTAAATACCAGTTTTTAGAAGAAAAATAAAATATAAAATTATAAATACTCCGTATATTTAAATATAATTTTAAATTGATCATTTTAAATATAAACTAATTTAAAATAATCAATTTAAAAATTATATAACCATTAAACTATAAATGTAAAAAGAAAAAATAAATATTTAATTTAAAAAATATACATATTTTAATTTTAAATTTTGAAGGTAAAAAGAAAAATAAAGATTAAATTTAGTTTAAAAAATACATATTTTAATTTTAAAATTTGAAGATCGAATTAATTATAGTATCATTATATATTATTATGATTGTACCTTTGGTCTAGTTCAGTGGTTTGGCGTGTAACATCACTTGTGTGAACCAAGTTCGAGGCTACCCAGGAACACCATTTTATGTCTTCTTTGTAGCTTATTTTTCTTCAACTAGATTAGTAGCTTATTTTTCTTCAACTAGATTATGAGATGTATCACTATTTGGTTAGTTAAAAATTAATTTAATTAAATAAATTAAAATTAATAAAATAAATCTTCAAATCAGCTTATGACTGATTAATTTATCAAATTAAATTTAAATCAAGATATAGAATATATAAATATTAAGAACTGAAAGTAGAATTATGTCAATTCTTTTACTATCACGTCATCATTTTCATTCTTAATAGTTAGTGAGTTGATTGAATAATTAAATAATTATATGATGTGATTGATAAAATTAAAAGATCAGTAACAAAAATAAAAAGTTAAATAGTTAAGTAATCAATTGAGTAATTTACCCTAAAATTAGTGCAAAATAAATTCAAAATTTAGCATAAATGTAGGGTTTTATAAAGATTTAAGCACTTATATATCTTTGAATAAATGCAGGGAGCCTAAAAGACTGACAGTATGACCAAATTGTCCCATCCGATAATTTTTACACCGTAAAAAAGTGAAAATCCCCAGACTTCTTTACTTCAACCTACGAATAGTAACTACTGGCTAATGTAGTGGTCCACCTTATAGCTAAACCCAGAGCGCGGGAAAGCAGACACACAACCTTAGGTTCCGCCAAAACTCCCGTCTCAAACGAGAATGGCGAGGAAGAAGAAGAACAGACCTGGGAAAGAACCCATTGTTTTACGGAAGATGTACAGAGACAACGTTAGGAGTTTAGCCACGACTATTACTAGCATAATCTATCGGCCTCCTCGTCCCTTTACTTGCACCCTTTGTGAAGGCATTTCTTGTCTTCGATGCTGTGAAGACCCCATGGCTTTTCTTTTACGACCTGATGACCCTTTGGATTACATCAGTCTTCTCAATGATTGCTTTGTTGTGGTTAATGATGATGCTCCTTACCTTGACTTTCATCCCGATCAACTTTGGGATCAAAAAAAGGTCCGATTTTTGTTTCTAACAATGTGTCGTTCTGCTTGAATGAATACTTTTTTTCTTCAAAAAAGGGCTCTCATGGTTTTTTGTTTGGTTTCAGATTGTGGTAAGGGCTATAGAGAGGTCATGTCAAGGATCTAAGCCTCCTAATGTCATATTTTCTGGTTATAACAAGGTGAGCTTTTGGGTTTATATCCTGTTGATTACTTTGTGAGAAAGTTGGGAACTTTGGGGTTTCACTCCCCCCTCTCTTTTAGTTGACTACTTTTCATGTTGGCGGATTGACTTTTTTTTCATATTATTATTTATTATTTTACAAACGAGGCCTCGATTTAGGAATATAGGAGTAGGACTTGATTATAGATATTGAGTTTCTAACTTAAAACTTAGCTGAACATAATTTCTTAATGGCTTTACTTTTCTGCTTTATTTTTTTACTGGTGAGGCCTTAGTAAGAAGTAATTGTAGACATTAACATTTGAACTTTGAATTTAGTTGAGTATAATTTCTTAGTGGTTTTTTCTTTTCTTTTTCCTTACCCACTTTATGAATAGCAATTGGTTGCAGACGTCAAGTTTGAAGCTTTAAATTTAGCTGAATATTATTTTTAAAGGTGACTGTTTGAACCTGAATGTGGGTTCATGGTTTTATGTGGTTTGGGTTGGTGTTATTTCTGTTGTTTGTATCAGTGGAGAGGAGGAAAGAAACCCTTTGATCCCATTGTCTCCTCCTATCAAGTTCAAGGTATTCTCTTTCTTCTTTCAATCCCTGCTAATGAGGGCAATTTGAGGGAAACAAAGTCTTTTTGGATGATTCATGAATGCTTTGTAATTGCTGTGTTCTTTATCATATATTTATTTGCATTTTTAAATTTTTTTTTCGATGGAAGTTGCAGTTGTTGTGTTCTTTGTCCTATATTTGTTTGCTTTATCATCTCTCATCAACTTTACTTATCTCCCATGAAAGTGGTATTCTTCATTAGAGCATCCTACAATATATGCATTTGGTATATGCTGTTGGCCATGTTTTTTGCTCAAGGTTTCCGTTTCTCTTGCATGATTGTTTGTGGAATTTTTTTTGTATTGACAAAACAGCTTAACGAATCGAGCCAGATTGTGGAGTGTTTGACTTCTTCAGCATGGAATATTCTCCTTGGAAGGGTATGTTGAAGCTTTGAAGTTGTCTATCTGTCTGTCAAGCTTGTCAAGTAGGCTGAGAAAAAAAAAGTATGTCAAGTAGCCGTGTTCTTGGTGTAATAATTCTTTATTTCTTTACAATTGTTGTGTATTTGCAGGTTGGAGATGAGTGCATGTTTTATCTACTGAGGCATACTTCAATATTTGTTCCCATTTCTGACAAGAAACACCTTCAAGTTGTAGGTTCTCCTGTCAAATACACACGCAATAAGTCGTCAAAGACAGTAAACATACCTCAATCTGGTATGCTATACCATGTAGCTTCAACTTTACATATTTTGTATTCGATATTTGCATTTGATTCATATCCCGACTAAGGTTTGAGAATATAGCCCTTCAAAGACCATTCAAATACACGGAAAAAAATTAAAGAATTTGAACATAATTTTGTTGACACTCACATCTAAGTCCGAGCATCATAGATGATTGGTTGAAAACATAATGTGTTCTTGTGCAAATAGATAGATAGATATATAGATAGATCATGCTTTTGTTGTCATTTATTTACTCTATTAATATGTGTTATTTCAATTCCTTTGCAAAGCTTAGGAAAGTAGTCCTTTCTCTACCTATTATATGGTCATTCATTCTCCCAATCAGAAGCATCATAATAATCAGAATCATGTAAATGTCACACAATGTATGAACAGAAAAATGTTCTAATGTAAGAAACGACAGCGGGTGCTACTGCTAAGCTGCATAAACATTAGTATCTACTAAGTTCCGATTCTATGGCGTACTTTCAATTAGGGATGCACTACAAGGTCCTGAAACACAGACTTTTCTGGATGGTTTAACATCAATTTTGATTTATTATACTGCTACAAGATTATGCTAAACTGGATAAATCTTGTTACTTGATGGAAAGATAACGTAATTGTGATAATTCATTATCATATTATTATTATTTTGGAAATGTATATTGTGAACTCTGATTTTAATTAGGCATGTCAGAATGTATTGAAGGTTACATTACGATGACAACAATTTCCTTCTATAATGAGCACTTGCAGACTCTGTTGCCATCAGTAAAAGAAAATTGTGATAAAAAGTTCATCAGTCATGCATTAGGGTCAAATAGTTTATGACGTCCAGTTTGAGGGTAATGTTTGACCCTTAGAATGTGTTGATTCACTTGCGAAATTTTGATTTAACTTGTTGATTATGGTTCCTTACATCAGCTCTCTCCTGTGCAGGAAAGAAAAGGAAACGGACTTTTGGTTGCAAATTTCCTTCCAATGGAGAAATTCAAGGAAGCTCAATTCAGACTGCAGAAGAGCACAAACCATTTTCAAGACCGCCTAAATGGAAACGTGGAAAGAGACGCCAATCGCTAAATATTCCAGAATGCGGAGACAAGTCCATTGTTAGAACCACATGCTTTTATGAAGATTGCTTGCCCAGGAGTCTCTTGTGCCCCATCAACACATATCAAGTTGGTTATTTCTTTCAACTCCATAGCTATGTTTGCATGCATAATTGCTTGATAAAAGCCGGTGCACTTTATTTGCTCAATCATGGACTCCATGTGATGTATACTAATTTTAAATCCAAAATTGAATTTGATGCCGCAAATCAAGTGACACCACTTAGATGGAGAACTTATGTAGACATCTTATTAAATCGTAACAAAATATATTGCCTTGATTGATTCTCGCATATTGTCTTCACAGTTCTATTTATTTTCTGTATGCAGACGACTGTTCAATGTTCCTGTTATTTGGTGCTAAAAGCGCCACACAAAGTCTCTAATTCGGTTGAGATTAACAGACAATATATGTTCTATAATTTGGAAGACTCTTCATATGTTCTTCCAAGAGAACGTATCCTTAATATATTTTGCAAGAGAATCTCTTACTTTTTCCTTCATTTTTCTGTAAGGTAGCCATTGTCATACATTTTCTTCTTTTACCAGGTAAACCCTTCTTGGCTTTAGGTAATCTACCGTATGACCTTAATATTCTAAAGATATACTAAATACCTTAGTGCCAAACTTTACAAGCTCGAAGTGTCTCATGGAGAATATCTTTGGTTTGACTGAGGCAAATTTAAGCAATCATTCAGTAGCATGCTCCCACAATGTTGAATGTGGTCTTGCTGGATCCACTTGCCTGTAAGTTGCATGTTATGAGTTTTATTACACGGGTTGCAATGTTCTATTATTTTATGCTATCACTTAGGGTGATTTGCAATAAGCATAGTCGTGTAAGGTAGCCATGTTCTGATGATATATAGATCAGTCTTTTAACTATGCATATGAACACACATAGAAACGGATAAAGTCAATGGATTGCAGTTTTAGCAGTTGCAGATGTTTGAAATCCTTTTGATTTATGCACGTGTGTGCGTGTTTGTACTGCATTCAAAGAAGCATGTCCCTTGTCAGTTATTTCAAAGCTAAGCTTCTCAACATATATGAAATCAAGTAAAAAATGTATTTAGATCATAAATCATGCAGTCAAGATTTCTATAATATGGTTTTTGCATATTTGGTTCTCAGGTATCACTCATTTCTGAAGTTGTTGAAACTGCTCATACGCAGAACTAGGCGGTGCAATCATTTGAAGCTGTTGAATAAATATTGTCCTCTACCATCTTCGTATCGAAAGACTGGAAAGTCTAGAACAATAATTGAGGTTAGTATTGCTTGTGATATTCATATAAGGCGTTCGAAGCTGCAAGAGACATCATCTAAATTGCTTAGGTGAATTTTTTGCCAGGTTTCTGCTACAGATAATATGGAGCTTAAGTCAACCATGCCTTATTGCTCGAAGTCTCAGGTAGTTGATTTTTTGTGGGCCGTTTGTAGGAGTTTGGTTCCTCAAGATTTGTTGGGAACTCCTTCTACCCGGAGATCGCTAAAGAGAAATATTTTCAAATTTCTTCAGCTGAGAAGATTTGAGAAATTCTCCATAACGCAATGCATGCATCAAATAAAATCTACAGATTTCCCCTTTTTATCCAGATTTTCCCTTGTTAGTTGGATTTTATGGTTCTTTTCATCTTTAGTGGTGCCATTGGTGCAAGCTAACTTCTACGTCACAGAAGGTGAGCGTGGGAAACACACTGTTTTTTATTATCGCAAACCTGTTTGGCGGAAGTTCATAGACCGTGCTGTGACTTGCTTGAAAGATCGAAGTTATCGTGAAGTGGGTGAGGATGCTGTTAGAGCTATTATACACAGAAGACCATTTGGTTTCTCAAAGCTGAGGATTTGTCCAAAACAAAATGGAGTTAGAATGCTAACGAATCTCAATACATCCTCAAAAATGCTGCAAGAGAGAACCCCAAAATATAGATGTTCTTGGATGCTGAAAATTTTGAAACCTCGACCAAGAACATATAAAACCAAACGTGTTAGCTCGGTAAACTTCAGACTTCGCGGCGTACATGCAGTTCTAAAAGGTTTACTGTTGAAAGAACCTGAGAAGTTAGGGTCAACAGTGTTCGATTACAATGATGTCTACAAGAAGTTACGGCCTTTTATAACCAGTCTAAAGAACATATCAACAACTATGCCTGGTGTATATATTGTTGCTGCTGATGTTTCCAAGGCATTTGATTCTGTTAATCAGGATAAGCTGCTTAGGATGATTGAAGATGTCATGGTGAAAAATGTATATATCTTACAACAGAATCATCAAGTTGCATGGTTTAAAAAAAAATTGTTGGATTGCCAGAGTCTCATGTTGGTGGATGAGACTGTTGACCCGGGTTGGACAAACATACTGTCTTCTGCCTCATGGCGCTCACTGTTTGGCGTTGTTGCTGATCAGGTATGTTTTTAATGTCCATCGATGGAATTGTTTTTTCTGTTCCTGTTGAATCTCTACTGTTTTGTTTATTGAATATTTTGGTACTGGTGTCTCTCCAACTTTTGACTCTACAGGAGAGCATATCCCGATTCTTCCTACTCAAGGAAGGGTCTGGTGTAATCTTTTTAAGAACAATTAAGGGTTAAGTTCTTAGCCTGATCCCGTTTTTAAGCTTTGTGAAAATGTTTTCAGGGGTGCTGCTCGAGAATTTTAAAGCGAGAGCTGTTTTCTGACCTACATCAGCTTTTAAAGTGCAATGTGCTTCAATTGGATTCAAAGTTTTATTTGCAAAAGTTGGGGATACCTCAAGGAAGTATCTTATCCACCCTGCTTTGCTCGTTATATTATGGGCATATGGACAAGCATGTTATATTTCCATACCTTGAACGTGTGACGGAAGCTTTGTCCTCGAGACTTTTGCCTTTTAATTCCTCGGATGCAGCCATCTTTCCACCTGCTTATTTGCTTCTAAGATTTGTTGATGACTTTCTCTTCATATCAACTTCGAAGGATCTGGCTAGTGATTTTTTGTCCATGTTGTGTCGAGGATTTTCGGATTACAACTGCTACATGAATGAGGAAAAATTCTGTTTCAATTTCGACATTGAGAATCATTTTGGGATTTTATCAAATAGGCTTTTTACGGGTGAAGATGGCTCCTCGTTTATTCCGTGGAGCGGTTTGCTTATAAACTCGAAGACTTTAGAAGTTCAGGGTGATTATACAAGGTCAGTTTTTTTCCCTGCAGCAATGGTTTTCTCTTTATTAATTTTATCATATCTTTCTTCTCGACAATTTGCGGCAGTGGTAAATAACGCTTAGGTTCTTTGTTTTAGATGTGCCACAGTTTAGCTGCATCAATGGTCATAAATTGCTTTCAGTTTCTGCATATTTGTCATCTAAATCATCATTGAACATCACAAAATGTGTTATTTATGCCGTTTCCTTTGACTTACACATATCTGGATATTGATATGGAAAACCTAAAAGTAATTTAGCATATCTGATTTCGGAAATGTTTCGTACCCGGACAGAAACATGCAAAAAGAAGATTTTTTTTTATGTTCTTTACATCATGCTGTCAACACAACATTTTGTTTTTAAAATGGATTTTAATATGCATTTTTAATGTGTTACCTGAATGATATGTTCAATCTGTTGTTGACAGGTACTTGGGTATGCACTTAAGGTGCACGCTTACTGTCCGAACGAGAGGACGACCGGGCAAGCATTTAAAGGAAAAGCTGTGCGACTTCACGAGACCCAAGTGTCACCCGATGTTCTTCGATCTAAATATCAATTCCTCATCGGTTGTAAGACTGAATGTCTACCAAGCTTTTCTGTTGTGTGCAATGAAGTTCCATTGTTATCTCCAAGAATTATCAGATTTTTTCCGGCCTCGCAGAACATATTGTCTGAAAATCATAGTAAAATCCTTCAGGTATGGATTCAATTCTTCATTGTCTTGCACATGAAAAAACTCTAGCCGTGCCAATTATGCCTTCCCATATCTAGGTACATGCATGGGCTGATAGAGAAACAAATGGGTTCCGTTCGTCCGAGTTTGGGTTCGTGTTCGGATCATAAACATAGATTGGTGAGGGATGAAGTTGAATGGCTGGGATTAGCTGCCTACATCGAGGTGTTAAACAGGAAGCAAGCGAGGCACAAAGCATTGCTTACAAAGCTAAGATCCAAGTTTTATGGTCATAGAATCACTGGGAATGATTCCTCTGAATTGAGATACGCAGTTGAAAGATCGCATTCTTCTAGTTTGTGGAAAATCGAGTTTTAGATTTCTCTTTTTCTTTTGTCTTGCACATTATCTTATTGTTCAAAGGGCTTTGTTATCTGAAAAGAGAATATTCAAGTGTTTTAGCCCAAATATATTGGTTCTTTGATATAATTTTGCAGAACATTTAAGTTTCAAATCTCAAAAATTAAAAAATAGAAAGTTATATCATACATACATATGCATAGTATATTATTGAAATTATTTAGAGATTTTTTGTTGAATTACGTATATTAAAAATGAGTTATTTGAGTTACAATTTTTCTTCCTAGCCAACTCTTTCAACAAATATATATTTGTTGTTTACTTGGGTTCTGGTTATAACAGGTGTTGGATGTGGGTTATTTATTGCACTGCTCATTCTTCAGGTACAAGAATGTATTCCCATTGTAGGCTGTTCAGAGCTTAAAGATGGTCATTATTAATCTTCTTATATTTACAGGCAGAAACATTGCAAACACATGCAGTTTCGAGGGAGGGATTTTTCATGTAATAATTTAATCATGAATAATTTCTTAGATAATTTTTTTCTAAAATCATCACTTAGTTCAGTTCAGTTCAGTTCAATTTTAAAGGTTTTTTTGTTGTTGTTGTGGTAGTAATATATACTAATGAAAGGTCCTGTCCTGTCATTCATTCAGAATACGTGTGAAGCACTATAGAAGTATCTACTCATGCGTTAAACATTATTTCGGTAAATTTATTTATGTAATCAGAAGAAAAAATTTAAATAAAATATTTGAAGCTGATTCACATATACACAATATTCTATTTGTTGGAAACTATGGAAAAGGAGGTGCAATGTTCTATTTCAGGCGAATTATGTTGATAATAGTTGTCCAAAGCAGAAGATTGAAAAATGAAGTTGGCAGTGTTAACAAGGGTGCTGCCGATGCAACGCTGAATCCTCGCCCTACAATTCGATCGTAGGGTCCGACTATGGGATGGTTTAAAGCAAATACTGATGGTGATGTTGGCGGAGTGGACAATCACGCAACTGCAGGGGGTGTTCTGCGAAATGAGCTTGGGGATCTGTTCCTTTCTAAACGCTGAATTATGGGCTATCCATGATACTCTTTACTATGCCTGGGAGCTCGGGTTTCGAAAGATAAAACTCGAAACGGATTGTTTGAAGGGGGTAAGAATTCGAACTCAAAAGGCCAATCCGACTATGATAGGGCGATCATTATTTTGATCCGTGAGCTGTTATCCAAAGAGTGGGAAACAAAGATCAGCGACATCTGCTGCGATGCTAATATGGTTGCAGATAAGGTTGCTAAGTTGGCTAGAGGTGTTCCGTTAGGGGCTAGGCTTCTTCACTACCCTCATTCTGAAGTGGCAGAACTCGTAGAGCAAGACCAAGCTGCTTCACTAGCTTTCGTTCTTTCTGCATTACCAAATAAAAGAAAAGATATTGTCAATATATCCAGTAATAATCAATCATAATTCTATATTTAATTTCTATAATTAATAATAATTTTAATAAACAATTAAATCAAATGTTTATAAAATAACACAGACGGAGCGTGCAGCAAGGTAACAGGCACAGTTTATAAACAAGTCGAATTACCTGTTTACATAGTTTATAAACAGTAATAACAAACATGCTTTCAACAAAGTACATGTAGTATAGTTGTAAGTATTCTTGCCTATGACCCGGGTTTTATCCCCAGCAACGAAGAGAACTTTATTTATCTCTTTTTCTATTTTTTAAAGAAAAATCTGTACAAGGCACATATTTGGCTTCGCCCGGACTCGAACCGGAGACTTTCAGTGTGTTAAACTGACGTGATAACCAACTACACCACGAAACCAGTTGCCCTCACATTTCCACTCATATTATAATAAATTAAAACATGATTCCTATTGAATTTCTTTCCCTCTACATTGAGGGGGTATCTGAGTGTTTCTTTCTGTATGGTCTTTAAGCTCCTAAAGTTTACATGTCATTTGGGGTACATTTATTTCTTCCTAGATGAATCTTTCAACAAGGTGTAAATGATTAGTTCGAATTTGTGCAAATACGAGCGTCAAATACGAATATTTCAAAAATAAATAGTAGAAGGATAATAGGTATAACTTCTTCACCTTTTCTTTCAAAATCCAGATTTTTCCTATTTCATTTCCAATACTTGCAAGCAGAAACATTGCAAATACATGCAGTTTTGAGGGTAAGATTTACATGTAATATTTTCAGACAGCATGCTCAGGCTGGTGAACCAAGACAATACCAGTAGGCAAACTGAACTATCTTCAAGATGCTAGGCGTTGTAGAAGGGCAACTATCCACAGTGCAGGCTAAGATGTCTCGATAATCTCGGAATATTCTGAAAAAGTCATGAACCTTCCCGTCACTACTCTTCTTGTATTCGAACAGCAAGTTCGAATGATTGAATGCTGTAAGTTTGACAAATTCATAATCATAAACTCTATATAAGCTCCATTTGGTGTTCAGAGTGGTGAATGGTGAAAGGCTTGTTCCTCCCTCACCCGCAACCACGTGTATCGTTCCCTTTAGCGAGCCTTTATAGTACCGTTTCTCATCGGCAGTGCATTGATTCTGTACCATGAACCCTTCTCAATGGTTATAGATGAACTACCTCGACCAAGTTTCGGATTTGTTTGGGATAGATCTTGAATGTGGGTAAAAGTTATAGGCGTACCTCGTATATGGGACATGTCCTTTTGTAATTATGCGCATGGCCATAGATGGCTATGTCGACCTTGTACTTCTGCCAGAGTTTTTGTAGGCTTTCCTTTGCCATTGTTTCTCCAAATGATCCTTGAATAGCATAACTGAGGTCAGAAGAATAGCCAAGAATCCTATGTGCAAGAAAGATCAGCCATGGTTGCCTTCGTCTGTCAACTGATGCGAGGCAATGTTCGATGAACTCGTATTGCTCTGTTCCCTCCCTCCAATCATGTTCCGAGTCCAATATGCAGAACCGGAACATTCCATAGTCAGTGGAGTACCTGTGAGAATGAATCACACCCCATAGGTCCATACTTACGTTCAAAAACGTGTCGGTCATAAAGACTTCCAGTCCAGTAAAGAGTTGTAGTAATGAAGCATACCAGTACTTAGCTTTATTCTCAACAGGAACAAAAAACATAGTTTCAGCCAACACACTACATTCTCCTCCATAATCATTATTCTCATACAAGGAGCCAGTTCCATGCCAGTCACGTTCATGGTTACCACTAAACAAGAAAACCAACGATGACAAATGCCAAAGAAGGTTAAGGACCAGAGGAATTCAAGCTCTATCAATGAAAGCCGGCAAATTGCAGCGTACCTCGCAAGCATGTAAGGCACAGCCGACGCAATAGGCTCAATCCGTGCAGTAAATTGGTCCCATTGTGAAATGTATCCATTAGCATAGCATATATCTCCAATGTGGAAGATTATGTTGATGTTTTTCAGATCTTTGATAAGTTGTTTAGTAGTGTTGAGAGAGCCCGACTGGAAATTATTGTATTCATTAGAGCCATCAGCTTCATCCTGCAAGATGCAAGTTTCAACTTCAGGAAACTGCAAGTCGGGATTGTAACCTTAAAAGTTTGCAAATAACAAATGTAACCAAGTGTTTACAAACTGTTGTGATCTAACAGTCGGATGCTGGGAACAGTAAGGAGAAGTCCGGAAGTTTGAGAGAAATTATGAGACTTTTGTGGAATTTCTATGAGAAATTAAACTGAAATGCTTGTAGAGGAAGAAAAGATGAGTTGAACGAAACCACTGTTGGTCTGAAGTGATGTCAAACGGTGACGGTTCAACGGATTGCAGTTGTCGGAACGGTAGATTTGTGGAACAAGTATTTTTTGGTTAAACGGACACCAAATTCGTGTTCGAAAGAGCGAGACAAATTTTGGGATCATCGTTCTTCAGCTCCGGTGGTGGTCAGAACAATGGTTAGCACGGTGACCGAAATCTGAGGTTCAAGCCGAGGGAAAGAAAAGAGAGGAAGAAGTAAGAAAGAAGAAAAGAGGGGAAAATGAGGGGAAGAAAAAATAGTTTTTCATAAATTTGATTTTATGTATGAATCTAAAATGATGTCGTTTTGGTGTGAATTGTTATGTCATAACGTTTTAAATATTTAACGAAAGAGTAACAAAGATAGGAGAGACAGGGTATAATAAAAAGTGCTGCATTAGGGAGCTAAAAAATGATTTTTAGTAAAACTGAGGGAAATGCAGCTTCATACTTGAAAATGCATGCAGAAGTGACCAGGAAATGGAGATGCTCTAAACTGGTATTCTCCATTCCAAATGTATGTATTGTCGAACAATCTATGCTCCAGTTTGTAGGTATACCTACACGGTAAATGGAAACTTCATTGAATTAAACTTGCATGCAAGTCTAAAGGGGCCACAACTCACAAGCATCTTAAAAGACTGAAGAGACGGAGCAACATTGTAACCTACATTCTATTTGGCAACAAATCTTTCAGAAAGCTGGTATTTATATATCCGGGATCACGCCATCCAACGGTCCTTGCCGGTGCGCCTGCACATATAGTAAGATGATGCATGTATAGAAAAAAAAAGGGAATGGAAAAACTATAACTGCTAAGGAAAGCAAAGCTAAACAAACAAAAGAATCCACTTAGATTTATGAACTTGAGTTTGTGTGTGAGAATAGGATATGCGCATGCATCCAATACGGGTATGTTTATTGCTTATACACTTCTTGTGCATTTGGAGTTGTATATCAACCATGATTATGTACTAGACACATGAATTTGGATGCGAGTGTTAGATATCAGCATGTTCGATACAGATGTATACAATTCCCCCCCCCCCATATATTTGGAGGGTCCTATGGTCATACCAATGTGTGCATAAACATCAATAAATATCGAATACTGATACTTCAGGAAAAAAAGGGGGGATTTGGAGTAACAAAAAGCATAATTCAAGTTCAAGAAGCTTCGTACCACACATGCTGTTACGTTCAAAAGTTAGTGTAACAGCTGGGGAACGCTGTTGACGCTCTCCCTTGGTACCCCATTCCACAAAGGGCTCTGCTTCATCAATCCCAT